ATATGCAACACAGATAAATTGCAATATTCGGGGGCAGTTGTGTTTCCAAAAAATAAAAAACAAATATACTCTGAAAGAGTTATCTTGCAGGGAATCAGGAAAGAAATGGTCATCAAATCACTGATAAGCACATCTGCTAGTGATGGTGACACAAGAACTGGTGGAGGTTGATGATGAAGACGCTCTCAGGTATGGTAGTAAGGATTGCACAAGAACTTCACAGCACTGAAATCCTGGTTGATAAACTGCAAAGCAGCAGTAGGCAGACAGGATGCCTCCTCAACTTGAAAGCAATTAAAACCAAAGTGATACAACAGAAGGCTGTAAATCTATACAAGGTCATTCATTATTATCTACCATCTTTCCCAACAAAAGGAAAGAAGCAGGCAACAAATTACATTAACGTTATTAGAACTGAAAATCAGCGTGGTTAAAAGAAACCAGTTCTTGTAAACCAGATCCTAGAGGCCAGAAGGTGTGCTGGGAAGGGTGATTCTGTGCTCGCCCTGCCCTTGGACACCTCATGGGCAGCACTGATGGCTCCCAGAAGGATATGAGGGAACCCAGCAGTCTCCAGCAGATCCACATGGAGCATCAGCCTCAACAGTTCGTCTCTGCACAGACACACCTCCTGGTACTAAACAGCAATACTCACGTATAGTGACTTTCCAGCATTACAAGTTTTGATAATAAAACAAAAATTCTTGAGCTACTTGGATACTACTACATATAGTCAGCGCCTAAACGAGTGAGATATTTGTTGGGTTTGGTTTTTTAACGCAAACACCTCAAAAAACAGAAAAGTATCTCCCTGCAACCAAAAGCATTCACCTCACCAATGCAACCTCACTGACAGCTCCTTTGTTTTAACAAAACAAGGACCACAAACAGGTAAATAGGATCAGTTTCATCCCTGTGAAGACTCCGGCACAAACCACCACAAAGTGGTAACACGCATGATGTTGGAAGGAATAAAATGGACCGTTTTCACGTTTATTTGCCTAAAACTTTCTCGGGGACTGCGAACGGCACCACCGGGCACCTCCTAAGGGCCAGGCCCGGGGCTGGCGGGGAAGGACCCAGGGAACCCTCTCCCTCCCCGGGGCCAGGGTCCCGGCTACACCCCGAGGCGGAGGGAAGCCCCGTCGGTACCGGCTGCTCACCCCAGGTCGCGGCTGACGGAGTGCAGGCTCTCCTGGAAGGCGGCCACGAAGCCCTTCTCTCGGCCCTCCAGGGTCTCCTTGTTCCGCATCCCATCCTTGAGGCAGTCGAAGACCCGCGTTACACTGGAGCGCAGTGCCTGGATAGCGGCGATGGCTTGAGAGAAGGCCTCCAGGTTCACGCCGGGGCTCAGCACCCCATCCGCCATCTTGCCCGGCCGGGCCCGGCCTCTCCGCAGCGGGCCCTGAGGTGCGCGGTGAGGCCGCGGCTTCCCGGGGCACGCTGGGAAATGTAGTGCGGGCGCCGCAGGGGCGGGGCGGGCCGGGGCGGGCCGGGGCGGGGCAGGAAGCGGTGCTGCCCCGGCCGAGAGAGCCGGGGGGTCGACACCAAAAAGCGCTTTTCAGCCTTTTATCCTGTTTTTTATAACATAAGGGATTTCTCCATCAAAAGCGGGGGTTCCCCGTGCGCCCTGTGCCCGCCGCCTGTGACAGGAACGGTCTGCCCATCTCAGACCCCAGGGCAAAAGGAATGAGCTGGGGCAGTGTTTCTCCTTCCTCAGAAACACGTTTTTTTCCAAATACCCTCTTTTCTTGTATTTCCCTGTGCTTTGCATCATTCTCTGCTCGCAATATAAGGGATATTCCCTCCCCCGTGGAAGCTGGAGGGTGTTTTCCAGGCACAGAGCCAGAAGTAAATGCATTTAAAATAGGGAGCAATGACCTGTGTCCTGCTGCAACAACTGCGCTTAGCTTGAAGAAAGCAAAGTGCTTCTATAGGCCTTGAGCTCATGGACAAACTGAAGATCTGATGGTGTTACAGTTCACATCCCAGTCGTGATTCCAGCTGAAATAACAAGGACCTTCATTACTGAGTATTTGAGGAGCACTGCGGAGTTCGAGAGGGCTATCATAGCACCAAGCAGTTTGATTCTGTAGGAGCTGCTTGTGCCTCCAATGCCACCACCAGCAAGTTCCACCCTTAGAGTGCAGCTAAAATAAATAGAGTTAAAACAAACGCAGCACTGCGCCATCCAATAGTCGCTCCGCGCAGACTAAATTGCAGCACAGGGCTAGGTTCTTTGGTTTCTCAACTTCTAAAGTAAATAACAGCCTCTTTCATAAAGCTATTAATTAAATTCAGGGAGCACCATCCACACAGCCTGATCCTTTAGTCAGGATGCGGAATGGAAATGAATGCGACAAGGAACAGCAGATGTGTCAGTGGCCAAGCGAAGCGAGGCTTTGCCCTCCGCTCGGTGACACTTTGCTGTCTATCATACATCGGAGACTGAAAATTGCATCTAATCAATTAAACATTCTCAGACAATAGTGATAAGTGAAACCCTATTACTTAGCATAAAGAATGAGAAAATGAAAAGTTTGCGGTTTTACTCCTCTTGAGCATAGTAATGCTGTTGTATCTGAGCACTGGGGTAAAGCAAACCTGGAAGCAATGTAGGCTGAAGCAATGTAGTTCAACCTACATAAATGGTGAAATATATAATGGTGTACTTCAAAGAATCAGCAATGGACCGAGCACACTTAGTAAGGCAAATGTGAACAAGTCAGGAATAGTTCTTTATGTAAAAAAGCACTGAACCAAAGTATAGCAGCCCCAGGCAGAAAAGGACAGGACTGTTTCAGCCAGACCAGCAACTTACTGGTTATGGAGCTGTAATATTAGTTATGTTAGACATAAAACACCTTCCTCTGGACTATAATAGATTGGTGAAGAAGGCACTGTGTTATCATAAGGGAACACTTGGAGGCTAAAAGATCATTCCTGCATGGCTTTATTCTTTATTCCTCTCACTGCAAAGTTCAGGCTCTGGGTGCACATTGCAGATGTCTGTAACTTATTTTGTATGTTATTCCTTGGAAATGGGTGATTCTTTTCCATTTATTCCCCTCTGATGTAAGGTTTATTTTTAAATAGATATTTTCAGCTGTTAGCATCACATTTATTTTAACTATCTCTAAGATTCCCGTCATTATGGTGCCCACGTTCAAGGATTTATGATTTTACATCCTACCTGGAACAGTAAAAGGCCTTGACAGTTGTTTTAATATTTGGAACAAAACAGTGGCCTGACAACAAATCTATAGATGTATGAGGAACTATTTGGAACTTGCCCCTAAGGAAAAAAACACAGCATAGCTTTGGCTTAGAAACTCAAAGGAGGGCATTCACATTTCTTGCTCCAGGGATTGTTTTGCCTTGCATAAATGAGGAACCAAGCTCTCCTGAGCAGGCAAGAGGCAATGCAGAGCATTTTGAACTCCACTGGCTCTGTGGGGAGTTAAGGCAGACTTAGCTTCAACACCTAAAGATAATGATTTAAGAAGAGAACAGGAGGTCCCATTCCTCGTATTACTCCTCCTCCTGTTTTGCCATATCTAGAAGGAAAAGACTGCAGAATTTGATGTGCTGGTCTATAGGGCATTGCCTTACCTAAGTTGCTCACTGTGTTATTTTAAGCAATATTCCTTAAGTGGCAGCTTGCCCAGACCAAAGCAGTATGCTAATTTCATTTTCATTACAGGTATATTGTAAGTGGGCATAACGGATATAAAATACATGAAACCAGGATTTCTCCAAGGTATCCCTAAAAATCTTTTTGCCCTAAAATCACTGGTGAAACATAAACCCAAGAATCCAGCTGATGTTCAAAACATCTAAAAATCTTGCTGTCTGACAGCTGTTGAGTGGGCTCCTGCAAAATTATTTGGGTAGCCCAATATGGACACATATCCACGTCTGTGCAAGCGTCAGAACTGACATCTTTTATCCTCTCCACCAGAAGTTCAAGGACCTAGTGTGCTCCCTCCAAAAAAGGATCACATTTAAAGCATATGGGTTATATCCACATCACATAACACGGTGTCCTGTAGAGATGCAAACAGCAGCTGCAGTCCTGGAAGCAGCCTGCTCTGTTAGTTCAGCATTCTGACCAGACTAATAAACCCTCCCTCTCAGCATTGCTAATGAGATCCGGCAGAGCACCGCACTAACACGGTAACACTACAGCTAGCCCACTTATCTCCACACATTGCTGCACTGTGCCACTAGATAGATGAAGAGATGGAATAGAGAAGACTGCAGTGAACTGCCAGTTCTGTATCTGTTCTGTGGCTGAAGAGAGAATTTCGTTTTGGGTGCTGTCAGCCTCATAACGTACATAAGCTCTGAGTTCACTTGGAGAGGAAAGGTGATGGGGGGAAAGTAACAGTCCAACCTGGCATCACATGCAGCTTGACAAGAGAAGTACAGTTCTCTTCTGAAACAGAAGCTTGGCTTGGGAGCCTGTAATTAAGATGAACCTTTCACAGCAAAGTATGTTATGGCAATATTACTCAAATTGCAGCTACTGAGAACCAAGTGGGCTATAATTAATCAGCATCATCAAAGAAAAGGGATGATTTCAGAATCCTTGCAGAGGTACTGTAAACAATTTGTTAGGGAAGAGAGTGCCCAATTAGAAATGCATTCTCGTTTAGGAGAAATTAATTTTGTTGTCAAGAGAGACAACTAATGGTGACTATTGGGTTTCATACCAAGTGCAGATAATCTCTCATGAAATGTCTGGACAGGACTCAACGTTTGGAATAACTCACGTCATAAGGAACTATCTTTATCTTCCTCCGAGATAGATAAATGCTGATATTTAGTCTGTGGCAAGCTGGACTGATATTCATCACCAGGGCCTCTTCATTTCTTCATACTTCATTGCTCCATTCTTGACAGCACTTCAGATAAATATAATAAACATATTAATTTTTGTTCTTGTTGTTCAAATAATTGTGACACTCAATGGTGTAATTGATAAGATATTGCTATTTTTACTTTCCTTTTAATTTCTTTCAGGTATTCAGTCTTCAGTTAGCCGCAGAGCTTACTACATGATGCATTATTGAAACAGAAGAGAAGCTGGGGGGTTATCGACTCATGTTTGAGGTTTCTGCCAAGAGAAAGGAGTGAGTCCTGCCTCCCTTTAGACAAGGGGAATGGCAAGACATTTCAGATGTGGGGGAGCCTTGATCTTCAGTGCTATTTCTTTCCTATTGTTGCCTGAATCAGAATCTCCCACTACATCCAACAATAGTGAGTGAAAATCTTATCTCAACATTCATGCCACTGAAATAACGAACTGAGCTGACAATGATGTGCTCCTCATCAGATTTCCTGTGGGATGAACAGAGTTAGCTTCATATTGTTTCAGGCTCTCAGGTGACCAGGCTCACATTCAAAAGGATCTTCCCCCACATCACAGTATATGGAAAACAGAACTAGAGGCCTCCCATTCCCGTTAGAGGGTCACTCTAACTGTAGGAACTACACTTTCGGGTGGCTATTCAGTTCCTTGTCGAAAGCATTTCAGTTCACAGTTATAAAGCGTCCGCATCACACACAGAAAATCCAGTGTGTAACAGATTTGTCTGCAGAATCACTAATGACTGGATGGATTATGGCTCTTCAATTCCCTGTTGCCTGATGCAACTGCCACCCTTGATATCAATTTAAAGATAATTCAAAAAGATTTGCTGTTATGCTAGGCTGCTCGTGGAGTTTTGGTCCCTGGGGTTGTCAACTTAACACCTTATCCCAACCCTGAATTTACATCAGAAGTATAAAGCAAAATACAAAAAGTAAACCCTACCCAGTAAAACTCATGGTGTTATTTTATGCATTCAGAATTCTGTCCCAAAATATGTCAAATTTTACTTGCAAAAATAAAAGGCTGCTGTTTGATTCTGTATGTGTGCAATCTGCAGGGAAGTATACTCAGCCACTTCTTTCCTTTAAACATTCAGTGATCAAGTGTGGAATCCGATGTAAAACCAAATGGGGAGAAAGTATCATTATTTAAAGGCTATATAACTGCTTAAAATTAGAGCTGTGAAGGCATCAAAAAATACCAGAAATCACAGATGGTTTGCAGATAAATTCACATTGCATTTAGTCCACTCAACATCTAAAAAAAACCCCTATGCTTTTGCCTTGCTTTTCAGTCTATCTGTTGATGCCTGCTCACAACATACTTTCTTTAAAGTGGGCTGAGTCGTGTTCTACACAAATACACATATTTTTAAATGATGTAGTTAAAATTTAATATATTTTGCACTTTTTCAACATGACAGCTATCCTGAGCAGGTTAAATAAGGCATTAGCAGAGATGAAATAGTGAGAACAGACAAGCAGTTGTGCAATATGCAAGTGGCTGAGACAGAATGACCTGATTGCTTCTTCTTGGCTATACTGATGATTCTGCAGTATTGGAGTCGGTTGAACACATTGTTTTCCCTCTCCAAAGACTGCAGGATCAGGCTTTTACATAATTTGGGGATATTTGTATTATATTCTGCATATTTTGTTTCCTGATAGTCTGCAATTTAACCAGTTAAGGCCTATTTGCCTTTTTTAATGTCTGGGCTGTATTTTCAAATGCTCTGTTTTGTCCCTTGGGTTTTCTCTCTGACACCGGGGTGCTCTGGGGAAAATTCCATTTCCATTAGCATGAAAGACCAGGATTTGGCACAATCATTCCAGCCTCCCTGCCTAGCAGCAGTCAGCAGAATTTGTTGAATACATAATGCTTGAATTCTACTCCTTACCAGCTTCTTGCGGAGGTAGGAATTTGCAGCAGGCAAGAGGAAGCTTGAAACATAATGGTTATTCAATACATGGTAGAGCACATCCCCTAGCTATTGCTCTTCATTGAACAGGCGCATGAAAGTTTTAGATGGCAGTGTATCCACTGTTATGACAGTAAATATGATGGAGTTCATGGTACGATATATGGTATCTCTTCTTGCCAGGAGCAAACTCTAAACTGCAGCTTGGAAAAGCAGAGGTTGCTTTTCCCCAGGCTCTTTGAAAAACCTGGCAGAGTAACAAACACTAAGACAAGATCACGGAGTTCTGAAGTTCCTGATTAGTAAATATTATTTGAGACAAGTGTAACCTCAGGACAAGAACGCCTGACATGAACCAGATTCAGGCACAATTTTGGCAGTCTTTATTCCTTCTGCATGTAAATGCAGCAAGCCAAGCAACCATCCTGCCTAACTCCTGAGCTTAGCTTTCCACATTCCACCAGCCACTTGCCAAGAGTCATTTGTTCTAGTACTTCTTACAAAAGCCAAGCTACTTCTCATAACTCTCCATCCTAATTAAGCTACTCGCTGGCTTTTATAATCACCTCTCCATAAACCAGTCAATCTCAGCAGGATTTTTAAAAGCTGAAACTGGGCTGATGTCCCCTTAAAGCACCAGCCATCCTGAAGCAGCAAGGTCTTATTCTTCACTCTTCAGCTTTTCTTGAGTGCCTTCTTTCATTTCTTTTCCAGATGTAAAAGAGAAGGGCCAACAACAAAAACAAATATATGCTGAAGGTTGAATGAGGGCACGGAAACATGCAGTTTTCCAGACAACTCAAGCACTTCTAGCAACTGCATAGATCACTATTTTCTTTCAAGCTGTTTCGCACTCAGTATTGTTCATCAATCCATTAAGGAGGACAGACAACCATGCTTTTTAACAGAAACCCAGACAAAATGGGCAGAATAAATCAAAGTTCTGGGATATTCAGAACTTCAGCATCTCAGAAATCCAATACTTCATCTTGACCTTTATTCAAGAAAGCATCTGAACCAAACTTAGAGTACATACAAAGGGGCTTTTAAATCAATAAACCTTTTTATACCACTGCTCCCTGCTTCAAGAGCCTATTTCTGGAAGTTTTAGGGCAGTTAAACTGAACTCAGTTCAGAGTCCACAACCAGAGAGCATTTTCTCTGGAGCAGGCTCCTTGTGGAAGGCTAAAACTAAACAGAGCATCCTAGCACCCTGCACCACACAGCTGGCATTGCTCAAATTGCCACCAGACTGGATTTACCTGGAAGCTTCTGCTTCCACAGACATTGCTATGGAAAGTGTCCTGCGTGAGTTAAAATAAGTTAATCAATTTGGTGTTGCCAAAGGCATTCTAGTGTGTTTCTTACTGTCTAATAATGTGGAATAAAAGGGACATCAATACTTGTAGGTGGTGGAGGCACCATATAACATGGAAATAAGATGGCTTCAAATAAATCCTACCTTAATTTCATCAGGACAGAAACAGAAGCACATGCACAGGCAGAGGGGCTGCATTACTACCAGCATCCCCAGCGACAGTCTGTCTGGGTGTTGCTCCACCAAGACCAGCAGACCCAAAAGTCACATGAAGGAGAATGCAGGCTAACAGCATCCGTGGGATAGGGAGGAACCAGAGAGAGCCATGTGTGACGTGGTCTGCAGATACCAAACAGATTGGATTGTTTCCAAAGGCTATTATCTGAAAAAGACTTTGCTTTATACTTGGGCCAATATGGTAAACTCTGTCCACTTAGCTCAGGGAAAGGTCAGAGATATTTTGAAGTAAAGAAAGGCCATCTGTGGCAGCTGTATCCAATTCAGAGAGATAAATTATCCCCAAAGGAACATGAGGAAAAAAATCCTTATTTATTTTATTTCTGCATATTCGACTTACGGTTACCCTGGTGCATCCCTGATACGGAACTGAGCGATGCTTTCCAGCAGAATCCAGCCAGTCTTTCTTACAATGAGACAGAGGTTGTCTAAACAGACGATCACTTCCTGGAATTTGCAGATCTAATTCCATACTCCAGTATTTAAGGTCTCCAGCAAAAGTGACATCCATCTTCCCTGTAAAAAAAAAAAATAAATAAAAAAAGAAAGATTTTCCTTCCATGTAGAGATTATTTAGTGCTTTGTTATTGACACTGCTTCTATTGAAAGATTTAAACATAAAAATGCAGTGTATTCAAGTAGTGATCATTTTTCATCGTCACTTAGGGACACTACAGCCTGTAGTTAGTTGCAGCAGATTTATCTTTTCTGCTATTGATCGTGTGTGGGGCCAAGCTGTTTGCAGGTACCTGGCTGTATTGCTTCTGAACTGCAGGAAGAAATGCACACAGAGTGCACAAAGGTGATGCCAAGCAGTCTTGATTTCATTCTAAAGCTGTGTAATTATTTCCTTATAAAGGGTGAGATAAGCTCCTAGAGGATAATTTGTTTGTGGACACAAGGCATTTCCTGCTTGATGAAAGGAATAGTGTGGAAATGCCATTTCCCTGTGTAGCTCAGCCTAAATGATATCACAGAGAGCTGGGTTTAAGGCACTAGGTGCAAGCAAAAACTTAAGGTATGGAAGGACAGATGCTTTGTGAAAAGCAGGGTCTGTCAGTCAGGTCCCGAAAGCAAACCTGCCATGACCTCTTGTGATGAAGATGCTCTCTCATGAGGATTCCCATCACATCATGGGAAGATTCCTTCTGCTTCTTGAAGCCCACAGAGAATGGAAAACATCACCCCAAGGGGTTGGAGCCCTCCAGCCTCCAAAGCTCCGTGAACAACTTTTATACTTAAGACACAAGGATTAACTCCAGTCACCTTATGAGTTTAGAGTGGAGCTGAAGGAAAAACAAAACAGAACATTTAGATGCAAGGTAGAACCTGCCTGTTCTCAAACAGTACAATACTGGATCCCACACTTTTGTCTCAAACACATCTACTATATTAAACAGAGCCAGACATCTATATATGCTCTTCTTCACTTAAGCCAAAGACATCAGTAAGTGCTGATACAGAGGCTGTGAATTCAATGGCTGAATAATGCTTGCGGGAATCCTTAAGAGACCAAGAAAGCTTTCTGTTGAAGCTGTCATGCACCTCCCTGATGGATCACAGCTCACAATCCATAAATGCACTTAATGGGGGGGGCAGTCAGGACCAGATCTCCAGCTTCCCACAGCAGTTGCTCTGTTACAGAGCTAAAAGGTGTGTTTGTGCTTATTTCTCTTACCAGGTACTAGCTGAAATGTGACCCAGACACCTTTGAAGTTTATATATATCAGGTGTAAGCTTAAATGTAAGCTGGAAAAGAGGCATACAAAGAACTTCAATGAATGAACAGACTACGGCACCTCAGTGCTGTTTGCAGCTTTTTCATCCAAGTGAAGCCATTTATCCACAGCGTTTGTTGTGACTTTGAGTCGCTCCCTTTCTGGATATTGCATATTTGGATTAGAAAAGGGAAAGACAAGCACTGTATGGACAAGGAGACCTGTTTTGTTCCTTGTGCTCTTCCTTCTACTCCTGATGGAGAGACCTTGAATTCGTAGAACAGCAAAAAGCCCACAAAGAACAGCAAAAAGGCCACAACATTGTAACTGCCTCTAGATGAAAAACACATACTTTATTCTAAAGGCAGTGACTTAACCAAAACCAAGCAAGCTATATAAATAGAACACAGGTATGTAGGTTCACCCCAAGTATTAACTTTACAATGTTCTAGCTCTTCTTCCTTCTCAATCATGTGTTTGAGTTCATTTTCTGATCACTTTTACCAAATATATTCTTCTCCCACAGAGACCTAATCCTTTTGCACTCCTTTGCAGCTCACTTTGACTCACTTGTCAATTCCTGATCCAAACCCTTTTGATTAATCATCTCTGAACAGGTTTATCAATCTGTTCTGAAGCCTGAACACAGAAACATACATGTTCAGCAGATATTTCCTCACTGAATTTCTCTGCTACACTATTTTGGAGAAGAGTTCCAAACTGTGCCAACTAACTCTTGCTATTTGCAGACTTGGGAGATGGGATTCTAAACCGTGAGAATTTGCCAAGGTAGCTGTACTAGCAAAAGCATATTGCTCCTGCTATAAAGCTCAATCCTGTTCTTCAAATAAACTGCACTAGTAGAAGGACTTCCACTGCCTCAGCAGAAGGTTTTGTTGATAGGAATTTAGTTTCACCTCTTGCAAACCAATATAGCAATGGTAACCAGGACAGGTTGTTTTCTCCTCAGTATCCACAGCTGCCAAAAAAAGGAATATGATCACTGTCTTACAGAATAAAAAGTGGCTTAATTCTGTCCCCCAAAATAACCTGCAGTTTTGATCCACTCTGAATTCTTTTTCCCGCAAGGCTTTCCTGCACAGATAACAACGTTAAGCAAATTAGCAAATTACTCTCTCTGCAAGAGCCAGGTTATATTTCACCATTAGAGAAGGAGTCTGGTTTTCGCTTAGGTGGGAACAGATCCACAATAACAGTATTTTCAATCATTCACGTCTCAACATTACCCTTCAAAATAGTTTCATTTTGTTATATTTAATGCTTCACCATTACATCTTAAAAGTATGTCAATAATTACAAATCCCACTGTTTTATTTTAGGTGCTGTTCTCCCAAAATGACAGAAGCACACGGATTGAAAACGCTGCTGAAAAGATTGTTGGAAGATAGGAAAAGCACATCTAAGCTTTGCCTAAGTGGAAAAAAGGAAAGGGATGCTCTTTGGGCACAGTAGCAAGAGCATAGGAAAGTTTCTGATGTTCATCATTTGCTTAAAGCCCAAACTGGATTCTGTTATGGTAAACTAAAGCACTGCAGTATTGTGAGTTTATGGTATAATATTTTGGCCACTGTGGGATGTTACACTGCAATATTGAAATGAAGGATCATACTCTGAAGTCTGCAATCTGGTGCCCCTCTCTGGCTGTCATACCTGATTCTAGACAGAAAAAAAAACCCATAAAACATATTGAGCAAACTCCATCTGATGTGTCAAGTAACAAGTAGCCCTTTATATGTAAATAAAATATTATGCACACCAGAAAATTGCCCAAACTTCCCCTCCTTCAAGGTATTAAAGCTCTTCCTGTTGCTATACAGTGAGAATATTTTATAAGCTTTATAAGCTCTATCACTGACCTCTTCACTTTCTAATACATGAAAAATTACTGATCTTCTCTTGCCCACTGAATAAAAACCGAAGCCCTCTGCAAGCCTATTAGGAAAACTATATTTACAACAAAGCACCAAGGAAAATATTCCCATTAAATTTTACAGCAATTTCCTTGGAAGACTCCTTTCCACTGAGAACAGCTGGACTTAATTGCAAATGAGCTGACTGAAGGAAGTACATCTGATTGCAGATATAATAAAATTCATGCTTGACACCTTAATTTTTTTAATATATATTGGCCACCATAAAATCACTGCATTTGCTGGTTTGCAGGCTAAATCTATCAAAGTTCTGGCAGGAGAATAGACAGGGAACGGAAAAGCTTGTGGAGTCCTTCAAAGCTTGGTGCTTAAGACACAGCTTTTTAATGCTATTGATTCCAAACAATCAATATTTTCTTCAATAAGAAAGTCTCATATTACCCCTCTTCTCAACCACCCTTCACAATGAACTTAGTTAGGATGAAAAAGCACTTAATGGCTTGCTTTTGAGTTCCTTTTTTTTTTCCTATGTTCATTGCAGTCTCTCTTCCTTACAAAGTTCACCTCCCTCAGCCCTGTTGGCTGATACTATGTGGTTGTGGAGTGGTTGGGCAGCTTTTCTCCAGTGTGACAACCTGCCATCAGGTTACCAGTTGACTCAGGAAAGCTAATTTATTTGAAATGAATTGCAACCAAATCAACCTATTGCTTCTAAGGTTATTTACTTAGAATCTACCATAAAAGCAAAGACTTGTGCTTCTTCCTCATTCCTGTTTTCTCTCTGTGAATAACTTAGCCCATGATAAGCTTCATGGGCAAGATTTTGAAGTACCTTTTTACCCGTAAATCTGAACCAAAGTAGTAATTTCTGGTGGGAGTCTTAAATGATGGCTTTTCAAACAGTAGGGCTGGTCATCTCCTGTGGTAAATGCAGTCCTTTTGTATTGTGAGAAGATTAAAGTTTGCTTAGAGCAGGGAGAGTGAGAACTGTGATTGCTGCCACCTAAGAATGCCTAAGAACTGGGTGTCATTGCTGACTAATTGCAGGCAAATTGCTTCTGCTGGACCGTATATTGAATGAACAGTAGCAACAGTGTTTGCCTGTAGAGCAATTAAGTTTAACAAGGATGAAATAAACAGTAAAGGCTGCCTGAATCTTCTTGCCGTGGAAGTATAAAATCCCCTGTCGTCTTCAGTCTGCGACATGGGTGAGCAGTACTGCCTTCCTGTTCTCAATGTTACTCCATTTCCTGATGAAGAAATGGGATAATCTCCCCATTCTCTCCTGTCTCCTAGGATTATTCCTGGACAGATACACACATTTCTATGAAAGGAAAAGAGTTCTCTTTCATCAACATGTTGTGAGAAGGAACTAATGATCAGGGCTCATTACAGAGGCTGCTTTTCCTTTCTTTATCTTTGTTTTTTTTGCAGAGTAACACTGCATGTGGCACCCCAACACTTTAAAAATAACCTGCTGCTCCACTGGCACCTAGCGTGATGCTAATAAGAGCCTCATCTAAGGGCTGTTGCAGAATCTGTAACAAGCAGCTTCATGTCTTTTAAAGGAATAGCATTCGCTGCTTGCTTCTGTAAGTGGCTCCTTAACCAGGCCTACCCAACATTGCAGATGTACACAGAAAATGCATTTTAATCAACCACAGAAACACTCTGTAGCACAAATAGTTACGCAGCTATGCCCACAACAGCACAGGTAAGTAGGCTAGTAAATATTTAATAAACTATTGTTGCGTGGGATAGTAAACATAAATATTTAGTATAATATTTATTTACATTTATATCCTATACTTAGAATAATACGGTGTCTAAAGACAAGTATAGATTCAAATGTTTGGTCTAGTAATACTACTTAGAGTATTACTTAGAGACATTTAATACAGTGTCATGATGCAGGCAAGAGAATGAAACACACACACACAACAAATACTATTTAGTTTTCTTTGTAGACCAATTGCACTATAAGAAAGAAATGCAATATAAATATCAGAATCTCTTTGCAAGGTGGTATATGTTGGGCTTTTAGCATCCTACTGTCAGGTGGTAGGGAATGACCTTGGGGGGTTGCATTACAAAATGCTGGGCTGGCAGGAGGGCAGATTTTCTATGAACATAGGATGAAGTGCAAATATCACTCCCCCAAGGCATAGCCCCAAGCACAGACAGATTTCATGCCTTTCTTATAGAGTAAAATGGAGAGTTTGGTGATTCTTTAGAGAAATGCAGGATACAATCACTGCAAAGATAAAAATTCCTTACCCAAAGCCCTGGGAATGCACTTGCTCCTAGCAGGGCTGCAACTCATCTCTGCAGGGCTGTTGCCTCCATCCTGAAATAGAGGTGGTGTACAGTTTGACACATTAATATTTATTACAGCTTGCAGTGCAGCAGTAGTCCTATATGAGAGCAGACTCTATTATAGAAAAGACCTGCATTATAGCAAGAGGTGGTCCTTTACAGGGATTTGGGTTTTCTGCCTAATAACACATTTTGGACTATCGAATTTCTACATACATTGAAAATTTCCTTCTCCAGCTATGTTGCATTTATGGTGACAGACAGACTTCATCTCCAGTTGAGGGCCTTTCCAAAGAGTTCATTGAGTTATGATTCACTTTTTTAGATTAATTAAATTACATTTCTTGCAAAATGTGTATCTGTATGTATATGTGCAGGCTTGGCTACTGCTTAGCATCATTTATTTTGGACCCCTAACCAAAGTCACATCAGTTCTGACTGCAGCTTGACTGCTGCTCCACTGGCACCTAGCATGATGCAGTTAAGAGCTTTATCATTTGGTGCCAAAGTAGAGAATTCATCTTTGGAGGACCAATAAAGCAGTAAAAAACATTTAATCACTAATTCATCGGTTTACACTGTTTTCACAACTGCTCCACAATGACCTCCATGTAGGTGCAGCATGGCAGTGCGTCTGGTCTTAGAGGATGTAAGCTGTGTGTTGTACAAACAACATTGTCACTGCTAATATCTCTGCCAAAGATCTGCATGCCGTGCTGGGGCTTTGTTGCTTTTTTTTCATAGCATGCACTGTCTTTTTAGCAATATGCCTGCTGAATATTAACCACTCTAATGATCCCAGCACAGCTCCATTGCACCACTGCTGCCTTTAGTCCTAGCAAAGTGATTTTATGCCTTTACAGAAGCTTCAGTAGAGAGGCCAAGGACTGGTCTACAGGTGCTAAGCAGCCTTCCTCTTCTTCACAGGCAGCTCACAGCCAGGCACTAGTGCTGATGTACAGGGTGGGAAGCTTTGGTTGCCATTTGACTTATCAATACTAACTCTGTAGTGCCTATTCATCCTATTAGGCTCTGCTCTGTCATGTACCACACACAGGGCAAAGAGGTACTCAGTCCTCTTACGAGTTCTCTCTGAGAATTAAGGACTTGCTGGCATGATCTCTGGATGCAGTTGGGCTGGCTGATGAGGTGGCTATGTTTGTATACCCATCCCTACAGGAGGACAATGCTTTCCCTTCTGTCCATCAGCTTGCCTGGGCTGTGAGGAGTGAGGGAAGGATGTTCTGGGTCATAGGGGCAGCGTTTGTCTAGTAGGGATAGAGTGAGAGGCAGAGGGTGGTGCTGGGTGAAGGATTAGCTCCAGTTGGAGTATGGGAGAGAGGGAGTGCAGTACAAAGCAGAGAGGATATGAGGCAGGATGGGCAGGAGCAGGAGAGAAAATGAGCAAGTGGAAGGGATTTGAAAGAGCATGAGGTGGTTTCTCAAACATCCATGGAGGAATTCTCCCATGAGGATATACTGGAAAGTCAGATAAAGGGTGCAAAGGCAGGAAAACACATCTACCAGCAGCTTCTATAAGAGCACAGGAGGACAAGGCCTGTGTCAGTCATGGCCAAGAGAAAGGATGTTGCTCTTATCAACACACAAGAATGCCAAACACAGGTCTAACTTTCAATGACATGAAAGGGACCTTGTGCAGGAAATGCACTGCAGAACCTAATCTAGAGCAAGAACAGGTTAGGAAAGTTGTCAAAGAATTTTAGAAGCCAAAGCAAAAAAATACAGTCAAAATAACAGACCATTTGAAGTGTCCTTTCCATGATCAGGAAACACTCAATCCATAACTGGCCTTGTGGAGATGAGCAATGAGAAGGAACCACTCCAGTCTGCCAGTTTTTTGGGTGAATTAGTTATTGCCAGGTAAGGAATGAAGCCACAATACATTCTGTCTTGAAAAGCAACCAGATCTGGGAATAGAAGAGGATGGCTGAGCACAGATGCCTTAACATAGGGTGTGTAAACTTGCTGCTCAGATCCCAGCTGCACCTGGAAGAGTTAAGGAGAAGGAGAGGCAGGAGGAACTAACCAACTTCCATGTGCTGTCAGCATTTTACCCCTTCAAGAGCTGCTGTGCCTTCCACCTTTGCTATCTGCATCCAGGACATGCTGTACAATCCAGAGAACCAATCCACTGGAGTACCTCCTAAACAAAGTTCTCCTCATTCTGTCTGACTTGCCCCCAGCCTTGCCCCCACCAGGCACACTCCATGTTTTATTGACCGACCAGTAAGATTGTGCCTGACTTCATTGAGAGGCTTTTAAAATCTTAGTCTTTGCTATTAGTATTGATTAGCTTTGTCCTCTTAATGGGCTATCTTTTTTTTTGTCTCCTGGCTTGTTGCATCATCAGGTTATATATTACTCTTCAGGGTTCGTTAGATGGATTCATAAATGTGAATACAGTTGGGGACCAGCTCTGAGGAGAGATGCTAATCTTCTGAACAACCCCCCCTGCCAAACCATCTTTCAGTGTTTAGGAGACCATTCTCAATGAGCAAAGAGATGAACAATCTGCTCACTCCCTTTTTCAGTGGGGGAGAAAAAGAAAAGAGGAAAGAGGGAGAGCAAATTGCTCTTCCACAGGAGAAGTGTGAGTACAGAGTAACTCAGTGAGCCAATGCACCAACTTTATCCCTGCAGCCATGGGTTCTCAGCTTAAAAATATGAAAGTAGAAATTAATCATTTACATTTACGTGGCTTTTTTTTTTTCCCAGATTAACCTCTCCCCTGTAAGTTCACCTAAATCTAAATGCAGGCTTTTCTAGAGTGGAAAATAGTGGGGGTTTAATAATGCACAGCAACACCGTGCAAGAGCTCAAAGCAGGAATATCTCACAGAAATCAAAATGCAGGAGCAGGGTTCATAGAGAACTCAGCTGCTCTGGCTGGAATTGCTTCGCACAGTCCAGCTAATAGCCTGCCTTACAAAGTTGTTGCTGAATTGTTAAAATATTACAAGCAGGCATTACAAGTACACTTCAGTTCCATATCTCATCTTACAGCTAGTGCCTCCAACCCAATACCACTGCATTAATCCAATATTGATTCTAAGGAACACAGAGCTTCTGAGCCACCCAAACAATGTGTTGCAGCACAGAAGGTTTCCATTGGGATCTGTCCTCAAGCCACTGACCCAGCGATCCTGGTAGTTTGTGAGAGCAGCAAATATATTGCAAGGTGGTGCACGTGCAGCCCACTTGATGGGCTCATCCTCTGGGAATGGATCTATTGCACAATTTAGCTTGGATGTCAGAAGTATTGCAGCAAGAGCACTGCCTCAGAACAGATGATGGTTTCCCTGGTTTTTCTATTGCTAGAAAACTCTATTTGCCATTTATATTCCTCATTCAAAGTCCCCAGCCTTCAGCATTGTTTGGCACCAGTTGGTTGCCACAGAATAAGGACCAGGTGTCACTTTCAGCCCTCTTCCTCAGGTGCTTGTGCCTGGGGTTTGACATTCAGTTGCCTCAATCACATCAGCTCAGTGATACTCCCTGTGGGGTTTGATCAGTGGTGCCTGTTACAGCAGGCTATGAACCTCCTGCAACACACACCTTGGTCCTTTTATTGTGGTGAAGATGTCCTGTGGTGTCTGGAGCTGGAGATGGTGTTCATATACAATGAGTTCAGCTCACAGAAGAGGAAGAAGATACTACTGAGGAGGTGTGCACTCTGTAGCTGATGCCAGGTGTTCCTTGATTGAACTCTGCTTCCCTCCAGATTCTCTCTTGAGGGCTGAGCTCTAATCAAATGAATTTATCCGTTGGCCAGTGAGGAATAACAGTGAATCTGAAAGCTCATGGAAATTTGCCCACATGAAGCATAAAGTTTTTAAATATAAAGGAGAAAATGGATTTGCAAACTGGAAAACCAGGCTGTAACAGAGAGCACAACAAAAGGGAGAAAAGAGGCTGGAGGATACTGCAGCACAGCTCCAGTACAAGGGGCTCTCTGAGAAAAGCAGTTTCTTCTAGTGTTACTGGAAAGGCATTTTACTCTGAAAATGAAATCCAGACAGGATGTTACTGATGGTGCACATCTTATTTTCACTAAATGATGAACCTTCATGTCCCATGAAATACAAAAGTAGAGAGCTGCATTCTATTATATTCAGCAAAGGTGTTTTTCCCCCTTTTGTTTAAATTTATTCATTATCAAAGGTATAGTGCCCTTGAGAAGCTGAGGCGGTTGCTTGTATTGCTGTGCAAGGAATTGAAGATACTTACTGAAGTTTTTATGAACAATGATGCAGAGATGTGTAGCAAGTCTTTCAAGACCCCCGATCCATCTATTCAGAGCTGACACTTAAGCTGTAAAGAGACATCCTTGTCAAACTACTTGCATATTGCATATACAATGAGATAGCTCTTCATTTCTAGCACAGTGGTTGCAGGAGTTAGAATTTAAAGCAGAAGGGCTCTAGACTTCTTATTTCTGCCTCTTGTGGCTCCATGTGCAGAAATCACATTGGCAATAATGAAAGTTCAGCGTTTACATCGAAGGCACAGTACGTGAGAGGGAGTGAAAATGTTGTGATGAAAAAGAGCCTGGCTAGACATCCTGTGCTTCAGAAACTGTTAGTGGGCTGCAAGTCGAGGGGGGAGTGAAGGGATGATACTTGTTTCAGATGCAGGTTGCCCCCATGCATCCTTTGTTCTTTGTCCTGCTGTTCAGCAGTGACACTGAGGAAAATACATTTGTATGTACCGTACAGATCTACAATACAAGAGAGAAGGCTATTTCAGTGGATGATTTCTGAAAGTCCATAAGAATAATAAGGTTCAGTTCAGCCTTTAGCTACGTAACCAATGTTTTCATCTTATGATGCCTTTTAACCTTGTAGACCTCCTACGTTCACTATGATTTTATTTTACTAACAGTTTTCCTAGCTTCTCCCCCTCCTTCACACACCCCGATTACTGTTCCAGAGAATACTTTCATTTTTAATGCATGTGACCCCCTCACACATAGTTTACAAGCAGGAAGAACTACTTATCTTCACAAAAAACAACAACGGTTGCTACTAACCAGATTTTGGTCTCTGATGCACAGTCAGGAAAGGGTGGCTCAGGTGTCTTCTATAGTTTATAACCCAGGAACTGAAGTAACTGGAAGTCGATGCCTAAGTTGACAGGAAGCTTTCTTCTATGAGTATGTATTTCAAAGCAAAGCGCAGGCACCAATCATGCTGGGTACTAGAGGAGCTCCATCTTCATGGCAGCTGTTGTCTATGACCATCTCATCATCAGCTGTATAAAATGATGTGAAAAACCTGAAAACAGATGTTTGCAATTCATTGTCTAAATTTGCTTGGTTAATATAACTTAAGGTTCACTAGTTAAGTAGTTCCCCCCACAAGAGCAATCTCTGGGTAACCTGAGCATCACCTAAACCAACTCATTCCCTGCCATGGAATAACAACAATATAGGCAGCTTTTTTACAAATCAGCATAAAAAGGGGGTTTCTGAAGAAGAGCTGCCAGGTATATCACAGCTGTTTTAGAGGCAAGCAGGAGTTTAACATCTCCTTCTGCCTGCATGGGAACAGTGCTGTTCCCCCAGCACCATTCAGGGCAGCAGTAACACTGCACATCAGCTCACTCTTACACAGGCAGCCTCCAACAGCTACTTCAGCAGCTGGAAACCTTTAGAGGTGCTTTATAAATATGCCCACTCTTACAGCAGGTGCCTCGTCCTATTCCACCAGGGAATTTTCCTGCATCTGCTCCACAGAGAGATCCATGTGAGGCTGAAGGTCAGAGCTCTGAGGAGTCCTTCTGTTAGGTGACCTCAGCTAGGATGTGGTCCTGGGTAATGTCTAATGGGTTTCACATGACTCAGGTTTTCCTCCTTTGTCCTTCCCTCTCCTTCACCGGTGTGCATTTTGCTAGTTAGCAGTTATACAGCAACAGCTGCAAAGTACCATTTTTAAGGCAAATTATTATTAATACCCCTTTGCCAAATTGCCGCAAACTATTGAACATCCTCCTCCCAAGCAGCCTGGGCTCTGCAACCCTCTAAGGAGAGCATGCGTTTTAATCTTTCCATGCATTCTTATCCTAAAACAGCAGTGTATAAGGACAGAAGCAAGGAGCTGTGCCTGCCTGCTTGCCAACAGAGGCAAGAGCAGCTCCAAGCTCAGCCCCGGCTCCTGCTCACACACCGGGTGCAATTATGCTGTGAAAGTACAGAAGGCAAATTCTGCTGTAGTGAGCAATGCTTCTGCGATGTGGCAGTTCAGTAGGTGGCACAGGGAAGCTAATGCTCCGCTGCGATACTAGAGGGCACTCTGATCCTGGCAGTTTCGGCTTCCGAGAGGGCCGAAGTGAAAACTCAAGTGTTCGCTATCTGCGGCCATTAAAGCTCTCCCGGCACTTAGTGCAAAAATTAGTGCTAACCCCTGGGTCTTGAGCAAATTAATTGGTGGAATCACATTCTGCTGGTGTAGATCCCCCCCCTTACGCTTAAAGTCCAGGATGCTTCTCCGTTGCTAAGCCCTGCTCTACTGCATCCTGCTGTTGGAGGGGCTCCGCTTCCAGTAAAGGAGCAATTACAATGCTCGGAGGGAAGGGGAGCAAGAACCATTATGACAACTCGGGAACTGTTTTTTTAAAGCTATCACTTAACAGTAATGTGTTCATTAATTGCCAGCCAGACCACTGCCTGGCTTCACTGAAATAACCCAATGGTTTCCTTTTATTGTGGCAGCATAAGGATTCATCCTGTCTTTTGGATACGCCAACATCAACTTTTGCTGTGTGCCTGCTGAAGGATATGCACCTATCCAAGGGTAGGAGAATTCCTGCAGGTGCTAAAACAAAGCTGTTTTTAACAGAGTCTTTTCAAACATATTCAAAAATAGGAATATGCTATTCTAATTTAAAACACTCTGATCGATGTGACCTATAGATTAATAGGTTTCAGTGTCTGTTTCCTTAGATACTCCTCATACACCCATCACTGTAATTTATAATTCAGTGTTCAACTCGAATTAGTAAGATGTAAACTGAAGCAACAACAGACTGACAAGTAAACAAGACTTCCTGATTTAAATGTAAAATGTTTACCCTGCATGCAGAATCAAGCTCTCTGCTCTCACAATATCACCGCCACATGAAATACACATAGAATGACAGGGAATAAGTGGAGAAGGGATCTAGCGAGGTCACCTAGTCCATCTCCTTCCCCCGGGGTAGGATCAACCCTACCTAAATCGCTCCTGACAGGAGTTGCTCTAACCTGGTCATCCCTGGAGGTTTTTAAGGAGATTCCACAAGCTCCCATATGGTCTGTCAGCTATCCTTACAGATGGAACATTGTCCCCAAAGTCTATCCCAAATTGCTGCTGTTTATCCCACTACTCTGTCCTACTCTGGTGAATGCAGGCAACAGTTTACTACTATTGTGGCATCTTTTACATTTGGGAGATTATTGCTGTGTTTGCGTTAGCCTTAAGTAATCGACTGCAGTTCTTTCCTCTTTCCTCCTCAATAGGTTTGCTTCCTACAATTCTGACCTTTCTTTCATTTCTGTGTATTTTTCCAGCAGAAACCTGACCAAACCTGCTCCTCCTCAACACTCAGTACAGATGGGAGCAGGTACCACACTCTCTTTACACACAGTGATGCCAGCTTTGATTTTCTCACACTCAGGTACCACAGTTGGTTCAGGGTTAATGTCCTCCCCAAGATATTACCCCTTTTCCTTAGAAATGCTTCCTGCACAAGCCCTTTCCCGACACACATTTCAGTAGTTCTTGTACATTCTGCTTTGCTCTTGTGCTTTTCGAATGTCAATCTATTCTTTCCAGCCTGTGTCTCCAGTTTATTAAGGTTTTTGAGCCTTTCTCCTGTTTTCTGAGAGCACTTGCAGCCCCTCTCAGCTCGGTATTGTCAGCAGATGCAATAAGTCTGCTCCATATTCCATTACCCAAGTCACTAATGAAAATATTGAGCAACAGCAGACCCTACACAGACCCCTGCAGCACCATACTCAAGCCGTCCTTCCAATTCGACAGTAAACAGCTGATAGCTTTTCAGTGTGCTTTCCCAGCTGGTTTGGTACCTTAAAGCATTTCTCCTCAACCATATTCCCCCACCTTGCTCCTGGGAACGCCATATGAAAGAGTCTCAAAAGTCTTAGTGCAGTCAAGACATATTCACATCTCCAGCTTCTCCCTCTCTGAGACCTGCTGCCCTGTCACAGGGAAATCAGATTGGTTTGATGTGATTTATTCTTGTCGAAACCACAGCTGTGGGGCTACTGTATACTTTATACCTCACCTCTGATCTAGTGAGTACGGGACAAACTCCCAGCTCCAAGAAGGACTTTATCATGTCCACATTCCACCCAGCACTCAGAAACAGCAGAAATACAGTTGCTTTAGTGCTCACTTGGGTCAGCAGTGGTTCATTTCCACTGGGAGCTGCAGACTCAGAACACAGAACAGAGTACAGGGATATCACACATGAGTTTGAGCTTCACACACCCCAAGTACCGCCACATTGTGTACACACAGTGCTCTTCCTCTCTGAAACTGCATTATCTGGTGCTACATCATTTCATTAGTATCCTTGGTGCAATGGGTCAGATTCAATATTGGTGGAAACAGGTATAATTTACACGCTGAAGGGAGCTGGAAGAAGGTGTAAATTACTCAAGCCCAGACTACCTCAGATTCACTTAAAATTCACTCAGAATTTGGCACCAGATATATAGGAGATAATCAAGTTTTCCTCTTTGAGAGCTTGTATATTTAAACCTGCTGTGTTTAATTTCTGCAGTCACAATAATGCTCATTCATAAATTTTTCCTAATGTTTGATCCTATTAGTATGTGCAGTGCAGTGCTTGGTTAATGGACTAGAACAATGGGATCAAATATATTTTTAGCTCCAGAATACCACTTTGTAATGCCTAATATTTGATATTACAGATAGGTTTGTCATCCAACTAGGTGTGATTGCACTTGAATTCTGAGAAACTCAGATACAGTCTTGGATAAGACGTGAATTTTGAGACCTAATTACACAATATACTGGACCAAACCTTGAGGTTTGCACATTTCCAGCCCTGAGATCCTCACAGCTCAGATGCAGATGCTGTTTCCTAGCCCTCTCTCTCAGGAATTCATAACATATTCATCAACTTGTAGTACCTAGGAGCCCTGTCCAACTGTATTTGGAAGACCTTAATTTGACTCCGGGAGGAGTTTAACAATATTAATAACTAATATTAAACTGATGGGAATGCTAGGACAATACCCTTTGATCACAGCATTAATCTGGTGCAATTGTGTTTATATCAGCCTTGTTCATCCCATGTGTGCTTAGTGCCATCTTGGCATGAATATGAAATATGCAAATCTGGGGGATACACGTTAATAGTGGGTCCATCTGCTAGGATCTTTTATTAAAGAGAAGTGTGAATGCAGTTGCCATGCAATACACTCTTACACACAAAGACCATGAGTTACGAAAACAAGAGAAAACATCTCATGCTTTTTGCCTTATTGGTATTTCACATTCATCGTTTCTGCAGCCCATTTTCACTTTAATTTAGGAATTTTCACAAAAACGAAATTTGGGTGGAAAAGCTCAACAGTTAGCACTGACTGTGCGCATACACGCACGCACATCTCTTCCTCCCTAGTGACAGACAGGATATTACTTTTCCACTGCATATGAAATTAATACCAGAAGCACAAGAGTATAAATTCCAACCCTTAAAGCCTGATCTGGATCTCGCTTCTACTACTTAAGACAGCTATAACCTAGAGGAAACCTAGGTTCAAGTTAGGAAGAAGATAATCCTGAGCTGCTGAACAGAGTCAAGCCCAAACTTCAGCTCAGCCTTGAACATAAAGTCATAGCCTAGTACCTGCACAGGATATGGATGAACTGCTGTGTGCTGCTGTTTCACTTTTACTGTCATAAACAACTCTTTCAGCTCTATCCAAATGAAAAGCTCGTTGTTCCTGTCACCTGCTGTGTCCTTAGCTTGTCTCTCCTGTGAATGTGTGCCCTTCCATGCTAATAGTTTGGGGGGAGTATGCTGTAATTTATTAAACAGTTGGCAGGTCAAGCCTCTCTGCCCTAGGTATGCAGGTGCTGATTCGGATGTGGGATGGATGACATATGTCCTGATGACATAAAGTCAAAGCATCCATCTTGATGAGCCCTCTTGTCCAAGAACTGCCTTTTGCCCACCAGCCTAAAGGTATGGGGAGCTTTCAACAGCGTAGATAGTTCTGAGTCTCACACTG